CCCGGTTTGAGACAAATGGGGATCCTTGTCCCCGTCCCCATCCTCGATTTAGCAGGGATTGCCCGTCCCCGACCGGGGCGGGTGGACCGGGTTCCCCGACGGGTCGGGTCCATTCCCATGCCTAATATAGGAGAGAGAAATCACCAATAAGAGGTATTGAAAATAAATGTTTAAAAAGAGAGAATTAATATTTTATCAAATGTATTGAATATTTTAGTAATATAGTTAATTTTAGAATTGATGAAATAAGGTAGTTGTTTAGAAACAACTATAGCATGCATGTTGGAGATGCTCTTATATGTTGTTGAATGCATCTCTATCTACTATTTCTTCCTCAAACATATCAAGATTGAGACCTAATTTACATTTTAAAGGCATGATTTGACCTGATTTTGACATTAATTGGAGGATATAGATATGAGTATCGACAAGTGTCAGGGTAGAGATAGGGACCATGAAAGCATGGGATTTGATCGAACCTTTTTGGACAATTCCTAACAGAAAAGAGGGATGCCAATAAGCTCACAGATGGGAGACCGAGCCAAAATCCAATTTGTCAATCAGTAAATTCATGTCGTGTAACTTGACAAGACCTTCAAAACAATTTTTAGGGTGTGTGAACCTAGCAACACCCTTTTCTAAAATCAACCTACGGGTGTTCATTTTACTGCCCAAACAACATAACTCGTCCACACCGCACCAAACCGTGCAGTTTGAAACTTTCATGGTACGGTTTCTACTCTGTATTTTTTTATACAACATAATGAGATTTGGTTTACGGCTTCCAATAACCCAAATCGCGATGCAAACCGCATCACATCGTATATAAAACTTCTATTAGTTATATATATGATATATTTTTATAACATAAAAGTAATCATTCTAAATAGCTTAGTGGTTATTTTAGTTGTGGATCTTGAATGGATTGTTGAAACTCGGGAGTCGGATAAAAGTCAAAAGATGAAATACCTCGATTGAAAGATAAATATTTTTGAGTAAATCAATACTAAATTACCTCAAAAGCAAATCTATATTTAACATCAACTAATAATAAACCAAATCTTACATAAAGTCTAGGTTAAGGTCGAGTGTTACTAAAAACCCAACAATAATCGCTATCTCCAAAATAAGGAAGACCTTCTTGAGAGCTAAATCCTTTTCAGACATTTAACTAGCACTTAACTTTTCATGATGTCGCTAGTACCAGTCCCTAACTCTTGGATTTGTTAACTTTTGAAATTTTAATGGTAAAACCTTGGTTTTGTTATGAATTAAAGGTTTGAGTTTAATTTCTCTTTATATGCTCATAATATTTGAATCTTGGTCTTAAGTTGTTTTGATTACGGATTTCTCCTAATCATCGTTTTTTAAGTGATTTTTGTAATTTAAAGAAGTTTTGTTGGTTCCTTTGAGTTCTTCTATTGATAAAATCATTTTGGGGATCATTGGAATGTTGGAAATCTTTTGATTTTGGAGTTTTGAGATTTCTAGAATTACAAGTTAAAAAAGCAGGGAAGGAAAAACGAAACAGAAAGTGGCACAACGAGCCATATGACCTAAGTTGTGTGGCAGGTCGCGTGAAACACTGTTTTGAGTTTTTTTTTTCTCATTTTTGTTTCTTGTCATTTTGGGTCTTTCAGGGGTACCATTTAGGTGCCTTAGAGTTTGTTTAGAGATAAGGTTGAGTCTATCTCTCTTCATTGTGATATATGCTTACTTTATTTAGATTCAAGTGTTTGGTTTTGAATTCTCATATCCGGTTAAAGTTCATAACATCAAATATCGTGTCGGAGTGAGTTTTCTTATAACCTTTTTTGAATTGAAATACATATGTTACTAAATGATTACAATTATAAAGTGATACCTTATTGGTATGTTTGTTTTATTACCATTATATGTGTTACAGTGTTATTACCACTGGTTGAGCCTAGGTGCCAACGTATATTCCACAGGGATATTGAGTCTGGGTGCCAACTCTACGATTAACAACGATGTTGAGCATGGGTGCCAACTTTACAAATAACGATGATGTTGAGCCTGGGTGCCAACTTTATATCTGAATGAGAGAGAGTTTTTGAAAGCTTATGGTACGATTACTATTTTCGATAGATTTTTATTTGAACTGGTTTTGTTGCAACATTACACTAACAGAGATTACCTTACTAGACTGTGTGGTCTAACCCTCCTTTTATTTTCAAAAATATGCATTTCAGGGCAGCCTCGTCTAGAGAGTAAAGGAAAAGGGAAATTGTGAGATCATCGATATGGATGTTTATATGTGGAGCCTATGGAAATTGTCTAAAGTCTGCTTTTGATACATGGCTTTGTGAATCTTTTGTATGAGAGCGTTGTTAGCAAAAAATTTGTATTAAACTTCTAATGATTGTAAAGATTTTGTTGGTTATGGGACCTAATGTGTAATTTCAATATGAGTTTGATTCATGTATATTATATGTTATTTCTTATGTGATTTGGCGGATTGTTACAGTTGGTATTATAGTCTGCGTTTATGGGGTTTAGGTATTTTGTTTGATACCTAGACTTAAACTAGGTGGTGTTATTGCATAATAATATGTCCCTATCATGTTTATAACCGGTGGGACATTAAATATAATGGGTAAAAAGAACCGCATGTGCGATAAATTCAAATTGCATTTGGTCAATGTATTCATGAGTTTATAAGAGCATGTTTGTACTTGAATACCTTACTATATATGTGCATGAGATTAAATGTATATTTATCATGTGATTCAATAGATAGCAAGTCATTCTCGTCACTCAGTTAGAACTGCTTCTTTTACTCTGGATGGGGCGGATCATCGCTCAAAAATAATCCAGGGAGATCATTTGTTGACTGTGTTAGAGGCCGAGGGAATGGAAGGGGAATCAGAGAGCCAAAGATTAATCCGGAAATGATAACGATTATTAGGCTCGAGGTCGAGGTAGAGGCTTGGGGCAAGGTAGGGGTGTACATCAAAGGTTACAATTCGAACATGAAGCTTCAATTCATGAAAGTCCCGCTAATGGCTGAGGCAGAGGTATCCTTAGAGGCCGAGGTCGGGCTAAGAATCCTAAATATGTCGGGGGAGACCCATATTCATCAAATATAACATAACACAAAAGTAGGTCATGTATCAATATTATCGAACGGCATCTCAGGTCCATTGACTTTAGTGAACACTATGTCAAGTGTCACCTCAAGTCCTCAATACCTTTAGTGCATACTCCTTAACGGTCGTCACCTCAAGGTCACTGTACCTTTAGTGCACTCCCAATCTAGCGTCACCTCAAGGATACGAGATAGCAGTGCCCATTCGGCCATTCATTCTCTAATTGAGTTCCAACCTCGAGTTTCCCATTCGACCTTTAGCGTCTACTCACTAGCATTCAAGATATGAACACCATGCTTTCTACTTGACAACATATGGCATTTAAACCTCATGCTAAGGGTTAAAACATCAAACCGACAACACTCACGGTCCCAGAGTCTGACTCATAAGAGTTTACCTCCGCAACATCGGATGACCACAATGCTTGCACAAGAATTGGTCACGAAGTGAGAACATCAAGACTCCCCACTTATCAAATACGACTGACTCACATGCCTATGGATCTAGTCATTACAGTTTAGATTACATGACTCCAAATAAATGACCAACACACTCAAAAAATGTAATTTTCAAATAAAATGCAGTAAATACATATCATATTCAAAGCTCAACATAGAGTAAATTAAACTGCACAAATGTCTCCAAAACTCATATGAACCACAATCAACACAATATACTCCACACTTATTTGATTGCTCAATAAAAGTCAATATAGGTAATAGAAACACATCTGACCAATGTTTATGCAAAAACATGCTCTAAAAGTATGACCAACTCGAAAACTCAAAATTGGTTGGGACAAATCATTTTTCAAATGAAATCATGCTATTTATATCTCTAAAATGTTTACTAACACAAAAGTGTGCATTTTCCAAAAGGTTTATATAACCAAATACATTAAGAAAGCATTAACGTCAAATCATCTCCATTTATGCAATAAACCATAGAAGTGACGCACTCTTGTGATTTTATTTATTAAAATATCCAAAAATCCCAAATATTGGGTATTTCACAAGACTATAAACCAAATGTACCCAAGATGCAGATATCATAAAATAAACAACACATTTGAAAAACATCAGTAAAACATCTTAAGACTCTAAAATGAACATTTTTTGCATGTATAAAGTTTTCACAAAACAACTTGAACTCATCTTGCTAAGTTAGGTTAAACCTGGATTCCAAACCCAAATCTTTAGGTTCCAAAGGTGGAGACTTAAGATCCATAAGCTAGACTTCCAGATCTATGGTGTAAAGCTTTGGAGAACACTCTCTTAGACAACCAAGGTCTATCAAAACATCTCAAAGAGGAGAGGGGGGTTAAGGATGCAAAAATATCAAACCTTAAGTCAAGAAAGAAGGATTTAGATCTTGGCCTTTCAACTTCTAAGAACCCTAAATCATCGAGAGAACTTTAATATTTTTGTTCCCCCTTTAAAGAGCTTCAAAATATAAAATCGTAGCCTTTGGAATCGCCAAATCGGATAAGAGACGAGAAAGTTATGACCAAATGAAGAAAACCTCGAAACATCGCGTTTTTAACCCTCAGGGGCCGAAAGCGACCTAAGTCGCTTGGAAAGTCATCCGAACCCAAAAATCATCCTTCCAAAGTCCCAAGTGACTTGTGAAGCGACTTAGGTTGTTTGGCAACCAGCTTCACACTTTACTTTGTGTTTTAAGTTGTTTTGCAACTTTTCGTATGACCAAACTTGCATGTGAGGTCTCTTAATGCCCCAGATGACTTTCAACATAACTTTTCTTCATCCCAAATCAACCATGACCCTTGATTCAAATGCCATAAACATTAAATAATGGATGAACACCAAATGGCCTGCTAAAACAAATCTATACCCTTAATTTTTCAAAGAAGATACGGCCTATTTTCCCTCAACCATATAACTTGGAAAGCATAACACAATGCTTGGAGCCAAAATATACATATTAGTATTATATATATTACATAAGTTGTTCACCTCAGTCTAATTAATTGTTTTATAAAGAAACAAGTAAAGGTTTATGATTCTTCATTTATACCATCTCATGCTCTTCCTGAAGATGTCTCCCCCAAAGATAACGATGCCAATACGCGAGCACTTCTCGCTCCGTTATGGAACTTCCTGCTTTTGCTAACTTTCAGCTTACTAAATGCCGACTTTACATCAAACAGCTGGAGAGCGTGCGTCAAAACCTGTCTACTTTCTCCAAAGATTGCCAGATTCAACCGCGGAATGTATGCTACCCATAACGCTATCACACTCGACACCACCTCCGGACATAAAATTAGGAATGCCTTCAGTAACACCAACGATAAGGAAAACACCAGATACGGTTCCTCACTCATTATGTCCTTCCATGAAACAACACTTCTCGGTCTGTTTTCTGAAGATGGCATCACTTGATCTTCGGTCAAGTACATCAGGGGCTCAAGTCCTAGAAAAACATGGTCTTCATGTTAGGATCACCAATCACACACATAAACAAAACAAAACCAAACCAAACCAAACGAGCTCAGCACATCCCACCTAGAGATGGGGTCCGGAAAGGGTAAGATGTAAGAAACCTGACCTCCACCATGAACAGTAGTAGACAGCCCAAATGATGAAAAGTGTGTGAAAAAGAGAAAAGCATAGAAGTTTAAATTTTAAAAATTTGGATATAAGTAATCAAAAAGATGCATAATGCCAACAACACACATGGTAATTATGATTGCAGAAAATATATAATTAAAAAAATGCATAATTCTACAACCATTGATATATAAATCAAAAAGATGCAAAATTCCACAATCAATGATATAAAATCAAAACGATACATAATCCCACGACCAATGATATATAAATAAAAAAGATGCATAATTCCACAACCATGACATTTATCATAAGTACAAAAAGTATGCTGAAACCGAATTATTAAAATGCTACCTGTAGTTCTTTGATAGAAGTCCGAAAGGGAGTGCAAATTTTTTGGACCATGATACTGCATTCGGGTTGTTCCATTCACTATTAAAATTGACGGGACGCTATGAATTCCATGCTTTGAGAAAACACTGCAAGGATTACATGAAGTAACTACGTATGTACAAAACATCTCCGGAGAGGAAATTGAGCCCTTTCCCTACTTATTGCAAATATAGAAACAATAATACAAAATCGACCGAACTAGTTCAGGATAAATTGACAAAACTGTAAGTCAAATCCTGGGATGTCGCTTAGGAAAACATCAAGTTGACTTGCAATTCCGAGCCAAAATTCTAGTACTTCCTAGCTAGCTATCTTCTAATGAGACTGAGAGAACAAAATCTTACCCTGCCATCTGAAACACATTAAGGTTTTTTTAGGTATCAACCACCTTAAAAACTTGTGCAATAGATTAAGAGATGGACCACTAAATTTATTTCAGTAAAAAGAAGAAAGTACTGGAGAAATCTAGCTTGTGGCCACTGTTATGAACAGTTGCAGGCTGTGGTGAAATAAAAGCACACAGCCATACATGCACGTAGTTACACAAAATGTTGTACTCCTGAATGAATTGCTGATTATAGAAACTGAATTAAAGGCAATGTGTTACCTTGGCAGAGCCGAAGATTGTTTAACCTTTACATGCATAATTTGTGGATACATTGAAGCAAGAGCATCAAACTTGGGTTGTGCATTCCTAGAAAACGGACACCAGGAAGCATAGAATAATATGGCCTTATAAACATTCGTTGAACTCAAAAGCCTGTCAAGAGACTCTCCATCCATCTGCAGGTGGCATATAATTAAATACACTAATAAACACAATAATATGCTTAAACCAGTTCATAGAAACACATTCTAGAAGTTAATAAACATGGGCCACCATACTAATTACCACAATCCTTCAAAATGTTGATCTGTAACCAAATGGATTGAGGTTCAGTCAATCAGTCCTATCTGGTTGAGTTTAATGACTGAAATGGGATAGAACATATTCAACACTAAAAGATTGTGGAGACCACAAGAACACAGATCGGAGATCCGAGAAAACTCTGGTCTAAGATTGTGAAGGCTCCATAATAGATTCTGAAGGCTTAGAATCAATGAAATTAAAGTTCTTTTTGGGCCTAATTATCAATTAGAAGATTTAGCTTGTATGAATTGCTATTGATTCCTTGTAACATGAACATAAAGACACAAGCACAGATCCTGGGTACTACTGTTATGTTGGTTCCAGAAGTAACCAAGAGGTCGACATAAATTATTTTTGACCAATAAAAGAGAAGTTAATGTAGCGTTTCTTCAATCTTTTAGGAATCAGCAACAAAGGATCTCATATACACAGCATGCTCATCGAGGAGGAGATAGACATGGATAGATCCTTGCAAGAGGTCAGACTATGATGTAACTCATGTAAGTTGGTCAAAAGCACCTTATGATGTTTATACAGCTCTACATTATTCTTGTTGATTTAAAATTTGAAGAAAAGATCCAATAAAGAAGGAACTGTAACCCTGTGACGACGAGACGGTGATGGAGCCTACCATATTGTTTGTAAATGCAGTGCCAAGAAGATTTACAGTTCTGGAGGCAGCAATCTCCAATTGTTTGCGCTTTGTCTGTTGATAACTAACTCGATTGAATTGATGTTTAAAGATACATGCAGTACACTCTATCCTAAGTTCCATACGGATGAGTGTTTCTACTTCCTTTTTAGAAAATTAATGCATAAGATCCTTTAGTTTCACAGAAAAGAAGGTTATTAATGTATTACTGTTGCAATTTTAGGCTGTTTGGACAGGACATTAGTATTACAAACATAAATATGCTTGCTAATCAGGTGAAACCTATGAAGCTCCAACAGGTGACACATAAGACCCAATCCTCAAAAAAGTTAACAATTCTCAACAACTAGGTAAGGCTACTACGATATCTTATGTTAATTTTAAGATACTATTTCCATCCACTAATTTTTAGAAATATTTGACGTATATAACATATTACGAAAAGTAAAAATGCATTCACTAAGGAGTACAACACATGAGCTCACAACCGAAAAAAAAGGTTAGCTTGTCAAAACAACTAGATGAAGGTTACCATGATATAGTACATCGATTTTAACTGATCCTCTCAAATCATGAATACAATATATGAAGCATTTCCAATCTCCAACTAAATAAAATTGTTACGATCAATCGAAAATCCCTAGTCCACTTGGATGATTCTTCAGGTAGCGTTTGGTACGCAGACATTATTGGACAGGACAAGACTGGACAAGAGTATGTCGGGTGTTTGATACTAGGATTGGACGGAACAGAACTAGACAAGCTACCCCTAAAAGTTATTTGATGATTTTAAATATCATATAATAGTTATAATTAAAACAAATAAAATAAATAATTAAAGAATTTAATTTATAAATATTTGTAAATTTTCATATAAATAAATACATACATATATAATGGCACCAAATTTGGATGAAAATTTTGATATAATTGATGGTAGTAGTGATGGTGGCGGAGGTGGTGGTGGAGGTGGTGGTGGCGGCAATGGGCGGTGGTGGTTATGGAGGTAGAGGCAATGGTGGTTGGTAGACGACTGTGGTTATAGAGGACATGAAGATGGTGGTGGTGGTGGTGGCGGTTAACAACAGTGGACGAGGTAGTTGTGGCTGATGTAGTGAAGATAGTGGTGGTGATGGTTATGGTGAGGTGAGGTGGCAATGAATGGTGGTGGCTGATGGTGGTTGTGGAGGTCGTGGAGGAGGTTGTTGCAGTAGAGGAGTTGGAGGTGGCGAATGGTGGTAGGTGGTCGACGGTGGTTGTGGAGGTCATGGAGGAGGTTGTTGCGGTATAGGAGGATTTGGAGGTGGCCAACGGTGGTGGTGGTTGGTGGCCGATTGTGGTTGTAAAGGTAGCAATGGACGGTGGTGAAGGAGGTTGTTGTAGTAGAGGAGTTGAAGGTGGCGAACGGCGGTAGTGGTGGTGGCAATGGACGGTGGTGGTCGACTATGGTAGAGGTGGCGATGGACTTGGTGGACGGTGGTTGTAGAGGCAGTGGAGGATGTTGTTGTAGTGGAAGAGAAAGTGGAGGCGGCAGCCGGTGGTGGCGGCAGCCGAAACTAGCGGTGATGACCATTAAAACAAATATCATATTAAGGTTATATATCAAATTTGGGTAGATTAGTAATATTTTAGTTTTCGTCTCATCCTTATCCCATCTTGTTTTACCTATTTTAGTGCAACAAGAAAAAGCCTCTTTTGTCTCACTCTGTCTCAGTTCTTGTCTGTCTCATGTCGCGCCAAACGTGGAACAATGAATTCTTGTTCTGTCCCATGGTGCGCCAAACATGGGTCAGTGAGTTTTGTCCCGTCCTGTCCCATGTACCAAACGCAACCTTAGTAAATGGTTTCAGCCACATCTTAGCAAACTTAGGGCACAAGCCCCAACACAGAAAAATCCAGGCTGCATTGGCCGATAAGGCTGCTGTCAAAAGTTCATCAACATAACTAACCGAATCATGCATTTCCCCAGGTGGCAACCTCGAAACAGTTTTATCTAGTGCCAACTAGTTTATGTCTCTCTTAACTTTCTCTATCGATGTAAGGGACATTGCAATTACGTCTAATATTCCTCATTTTGTGCACTAAATTTCAAATACAAGAAAAAAGTTTTAGGTAGGTCATGGTACTTGTTAGTCATGGAAGGTGAATCTTCAGACAGATTCTGAATTGAGGTGAAGTCTGAAGGGTTTAAGGTCATTCACGGTGTGCAAGGGATGTGCCATTCTAGGAGTCTAAACACAAACAACCACCCTCCCCTCCGCCTAGCTAGTCACCTCCTCAAAGAGGAAAGAAGAACAAAATTGATTTTTTTTTTGGCAATTATCTTGTTTATCATAAGCTGAGCAAGTCTCAAGCACCTCCTAATCATCCTCAAAAATTCGAAAGATGGAAACTCTCAAACTCATTACCGTGACATGTCTGAAAATACAAAATCATCATAAAAGCCTTTTATTCGTGGTTTCGGATCGAAGCGAGCTGCTGAAAAATCGAGACGTTTTACATGAACATAAACCACCAATATTCAAATACCCTAAGCTATTGAAGAAAAATTAGACGATAAATAATCAATGCACATGACAACATACAGAAATCAGCGAAAAATACCAATTAATTCAACGAATATAACATAAAACGAAAAAGAATTTCACACACACACATATATATATATATATATATATATATTCATGTATCATGATTCTTCAATAATAATAATAATAAACAACCAAAACCTACCTCGATCGGCGAAGAATATACGATTGTGGTAGGGCACTGATGCTGTAGATCGCGAAGAAATGGAAAATTTTCAGGATGACACCTCGATGACAGGGACGGAGAAGATGAGGAAACAGAAAACAAAATCGACAGGGTAATGAACATGAACAACACAGACAATTTCATCGACGACGCCATCATCAATCAAGAACGATGATTCCCTCTGAATCTCGATAACTCCTGACCCTGTCGTCCACAAATTTGTATGTGATCTATCTCTTTTGGTTACCAAACTGGAGCAATTCAACCCTCCTCACTGTCTCTGTCTCTCCCTGCGTGACAATCTGACGTTGTAAGAAAGTGATGATGATTTGGAAAAAAATCCAAGCTTTGCACCTATACCCCTTGTATTTGCCCATTGTTCAAACTTAATTTATCGTAAAATGATATCCCACTTTTTGGTTGAAAATTTAGTTTCTAATCAACAAAGTCTCTGTTGATGGACAGATTAAAACATTATTAACATTATTCGTTTAATGTAGCGTGATACGTATCGATTTTAATGTTTTATTTTATTATTTGTTTTTATCGATATTATAATATGATTTTATGTAATTTTAAAAA